ATATATATAAAGTCATAAGAAAAAAGCATTGTAATAAGTCAGGATTACATCACACCAGAAAAAGGTGGTAATTATGGGAGTGAATGGGACTAAATGGGTCCAGAGGGTAAAGTGTATAAATTATAAAGTTGATTTATATACACCTTGCAATAGAGGGGATTAAAAAGATAAAATAAAAAATATTTTGCCAAGTTGGATACAGTTCGTCTTTAAACTGACTGATGCATTGAGAAACAAAAATAGAAAAAAAGCTAAAAGTACACATTTGGACCCCCAAAGCACAGTGGTGGTTTATTTTGATGCAAAAGGAAATTTAAAAATCACAAACAATGCTGTCATCTAAAAAAAAAATCTGTTCTGTTAAAAAATATCCTGGTAATTCTTGTATTAATCCCTTCCAAGTGGATCAGTAATCACCCTAAAACTTCATCCTAAAAGGTGATGCAGGCAGGAAAAATTTAAATGTCAGATTTTTTTTTACTTAAAAGCTGAAATAAAGTCATTATTTATGCTTTGCTTACTTTTTTCCCCATCAGCAGCTTCTTCACAAACCTCTTTCACCAAAGAGTTCAGTCTTTCACTGCAGACTGAACTGCACACATCAGTACAGTAATGTCAAACATCAACGCCACAAAGAGCACAAACAATTTAATCTCCTCTCTGTCTGTCCTCTGACATCTGTTGGAATGAGGTCAAGGGTCACTCACTGACTTAACGAGCAACTAATGTTTTGTGTATAAATGTCGGACATCCACGATACAAAGCTGAAAACTAACACTATAATTACTCAGCTGGCGACCAAACGGGACAAGGCAGATGTGAGTAAACATGTGTGCTGTTGTGTAACGGTGCACCTCTGCATAGGTGAGACAAATAAAGAATAAATGCACATGTGGGCTGAACGCCACCCTGACATCTGTCATGATCCTCTGTGTATGTGCATATGTGTGTACACTAAGTGGGTGAAACAACCTTCAGTCACCTCGCAGCCCCACAGCATGATGAACACACAGTGAAAAGTGCCGTCATCGCTTTAATTACCAGCATGCACAACTGTTACATGGAGAGAGGGTGGAGCAGCGTCAGCAGCGTCTTTCTGGCCCAGTCACTGTTTGTGGGAACATACAGGATGCTGAGGCAGCTGGTACACAGAAATGCAAACCAGAGGATGCTGGATGACTTGGCAGCCAGACTGTGTGCTTCTCAAGCTATGAGCTACAGTAATACATTCATTCATTCATTCAACCTTTATTTATACAGGTTAGTCTCACTGAATCACGAGGACTCATTCTCAAGAGAGACCCGTTTTAGACAGCCTCTCTCCTGGTTTTGCGTTTGTCCTGTGACTCTTTCTCAGAGATTCTCTTCCAAATCATAAATTATGGATCTGATCAGCTGGTCTCTCAACACAATTGATAACATTTTCTCAACAAGAAAACAGGGTGCAGGAGAACCCTCATGCCCTGAAGGGACCACA